CAGCCGACTCATCGCTGCCCTGGCCCCGCCACCGCCACCTCCGTCCTGTGTGGTTTGGGGCAAGTCATTTCCCCTCTCGGAACCTGGGTTTTCTCATCCGGTGAGAGGCTTAAAAGTAGCCCTCCTGGATGCACGGGATGTAGTGACATGTGTTAGCACGGAGAGTGTCAGGCAGGTGGGCGAGGTCCGGGGGCAGCTGTCTGAGCAGCTGCAGAACTGATAGAACTGGGAGACAAGGAGCCGGAGCCCAGCCCACCCCACGCAGCCAGTTGGTGGGGAAGGGGGACGGGTCTAGGGAGTCAAGAATGAGGTGGGCAGGGCTGGCCGGTTAGCTCAGTTGGTTAGAGCGCAGCCTTCTAACACCAAGGTCAACAATTCCGGTCCCTATACCAGCCAGCTGCCAAAAAAAAGAATGAGGGTGAGGTGGCAGAGCTGGGACCAAAGGGGAGGCAGAGGCGGAGGGCAGGGGAGAGTGGGCTGGAGAGTCAGGTGGCAGGGGTAGGTGATGGGCAGACTCTGGCTGGGGTCACTTTAGGCTGAGGAGGCAGGCAGGTTCCTCCTACACTGACCCCATGCACAGATGCCACACCCTTTCCCTTGCCCCCATCCCCACCCCTTACCTGGGGTCTCCATGTATCTCCTCTGGACTGAGTCTGAGTCACCAGCCAGGAATGTGACCATAGAGGGAAAGGGACACCAGCCAAGGGCACTGAAGGCACATGCTGCCCCAGGTTGTGTGCCACCCAGGCTGGGTGGTGAGGTGGGCACTGAGTATGGGGATTGAGTGAAGGGGGCTATGTCCATGCAGGGTGGGGAGCTGGAGCTGCTGCACTGTGGGGTTTTGACCCAGCCAGGAACAGCTTGTATGCTGATGTCAGGGTAGGGGCACTGGGGGCCTTAGCAGAGGTTCGGGGGGAACCCCCAACGCTGGCAGTCCAACAGAGCCTGGAATTCCAGCAGAAGGAATTGAGCTGAGCCAACACAAAGCGGATGCTGGGATGTCACCTGAAACAAGCCAGTTTTGTCCTGGCCCCCTTGGGGCTCGGAGTCCAGGAGAGACAATCTTAGGCCAACACTTTTGTTGCATGGGAGCTTTTATCAGTCCTGTTTTATGGGTGAAGAAATTGAGGTACAGAGTGATGAAGTGCCCCGTTCAGGGCCTCACTCCAGCGAGAGTCAGCCCTGTTGCTCCCCAAAGGCTGCTGTGGGCAGTGGGGGCCATAGAGCAAGGACGCTGCTCTCCCAGACCAGCCTCATCATGACCTTCCCGCAGGGTGGCTACTTCCCTGAGAACATCAAGGCCATGACCAGCCTGCGATGGCTGAAGCTGAACCGCACAGGCCTCTGCTACCTGCCGGAGGAGCTGGCCGCCCTGCAGAAGCTGGTAAGGGGCTTTGGGCAGGCAGGGAGGGTCCCTGTGGTTGGGGCTGGGCCAGGTGGTGTGCCTGTGGAGACGGTAGATGATGAAGAGGAAGAATACTGACAGCCATGAGCAGAGCTGGCAGAGGTGGTGAGCACCCCGTCCTGGGAGGTGTGCAAGAAGAGGCCAGGTCTGGGAGGGAGGGAGGCTGCAGAGGTGGCCTGGGCTGGTGTGGCCAAGGGTCCTCCTGGATGGTGCACAGCTGTGGTGGCAGGTGCACTGTGGACGCCCCACCCACCCCGCTGAGTCTCTGCTCTCCTATCCCGGCCAGGAGCACTTGTCTGTGAGCCACAACAGCCTGACCACGCTTCATGGGGAGCTGTCCAGCCTGCCATCGCTGCGGGTGAGTGCTGGCCAGGAGGTCACTAGGCTTGTGGTGGGGACTGGAGTCTGGCTGGGGACATGACGGTAGGACCAGACCCCAGGCTGGGCCAGCATCTGCCCACCTCCGTGTCAGGCTCAGGGGCCCAGGTGTCACAGGAAAGGCCCTCTTGTTGAAAGAGGATACAGCACTGTGTACAGTAACCCATGTGGACCAGAAAATTCTGTGGGGAAAAAGGTAAAAAAACACGTAGAGTCCCACCACCCATTTTGCACAACAACTATGATAGGAGCCAGTACAGGCTGAGCTCTGTTCCAACTACTCTTTGTGAACTTTTTCATATGCTCCTGACCTTACAGATGAGGAAACTTGGCCACAGAGTCAGGTCACTTGCCCAAGGTCACACCAGCAGGCAGCAGCAGAGCTGGCATTGGGTGGGATTTGGCTGGGAGGATGGTCTGACATACCAGAACACTAGGCCCCTGGTTAGACCCTATGGGCATCAGCGAGAGTTGTCCCATCCAAGGCTGGGGTCCTGAGGTGTCAAGGGCACAGCCTCTGGACTTGGGTTCATCAAGTTCAAATCTGGGACAAGTCCCTGCCT